CTGACAATAAATGGACAGACAGACAGATAACTTGAGTATTGGTCGTATTTTAAGTTAATTAGTCCCTCAGGATGCAGCCTGACGGCTGGTTTCGGCTCACGGCCCTTTAAAGGATAAGCTGTTACAGATAATGGATGAATGCATGCAGTTTAAATAAAGATAAAGTACAGTTATCCCACTGTTTTTGGTTCTTTTGCAGAGTGGACAGGCCTATTTCATTAATGATGGAGTTTCCGTCAATCTGTTTGAGTGGTTGACACCTTTGGTGAGTTAAATGATAAGGTGGGTGATATTCTATGTTTTTGTTTATGTCAACACATCTCATGAAAATACCAAAACCAACAATGAATTTATCCCACTAACAAGTATTGTCTGTGAAGCCAAAGCTTGATAGATGTGTGTGTGTGCTGTAAAGCTCCAATGTTGTCTGAACACTATTAAAAGATTTTTAAAGATTCACATCCACAAATAGGAATGAATGGGCTTGAGGCTGAGTGCTACACACTAAGTAGGAAAACTAGAACGTTGTTAGTTTTGGCCTTTTCGTGGGAATTGCTGACAGCAAAAACAAATCAGAATAGCTCCTGCATAATCCTCTAAACCTTTATGGATATTTGCAGTTTACATTGAAATGCATTTTGTCAAAACTCAAAACAAGTGTTTCATGTTACCATTGCAGTTTGAAAAGCTTGGCTACAGCAGGCCGTTGATAAACCTGCCTGTTTCACTGGTCTATTCAGCAGGTAATTAGTAGACCTTTTAAATATCCCTCATATTTCATTTGGCAAATGCTTTGGCATGTTGCTACACTAACTGTATGTTGTATATTTTCTTCTATTTTCAGCCATCCTGGTGGAGTATTTGCATGTAGTTCTGAGACCTGTGATAGGAGTGCCCCTGCTCTTTACCAGAAGTGAGGTAATTAGACTTCTTTTCTGCCTTTTAAAACTTTTATTTTTTTCTCTCAGACTTCACTCAGCTTCTTCAATAAGCTCTTTTATCTGTCTGATCTGAATTAACTAAGTGAGGTGCATCTTGGATCAGGATGACATGGTTAGAGTGGTGAAAGTTACAACACTGTGGAGCTGTGGATGAACTTAAGCTAGCCACGCCCTGAAGCATGCCCTGCTTTATCATCCATTTTACTCTACATTTGACCATAATTTACTAAATGAACATCATGCTGTATTGGAGAAGATACAAACTAGTGAATGAGACCATAAACACATGTTTACAATGTTTACTGAGGTAACAAATCAAGTGAGAAGTCGGGTCATTTTCTCATTGACTTCTATACAGTCTGACTTTTTGCATCCAGAGGAGTCGACCCCTGCTGGCCATTAGATAGAATGCAAGTTTAAGGCACTTCCACATTGGCTTCACCTTTCAGACCCGGAGGTTGCCGCCTGGTTGGAGATGGGTTACCTGCTCTCTCATGAGTACATTCTTGTTTAAGTCTCTCCCACAACAGTGACGACAGACTTCATTAGGACGAGTATTTTCCTACCCTTGCTCTCCCCCTCCCTCGTCTGATCCTATCTCTTCTGCATAAATTATGAAAAACCAAAGAGAGCCTTTAAGAAATTCAAAAAATTGGCAAATAACAAAGTCCCAATGTACTCATAGTCACTAGAAGTATTTTAGTACTATCCGCTGGTCTGTACTGTTACAACAAAACACAAGAATTACAACGTATCAGGATGAGGGATGCTTGCAGTAATCCTGCCAGGGGAGACCTTTACGGTGCATCTTGAGGAGCCTCCGTCATGGCCTGTAAGGTCCTCGTGAATGTGTGATGAGACAGAAACCAAAGCTGAGCCCGTGGGCCTGCACCTGGAGCTCATTCTGTCAGGCAGCTGCTGGCCCGGGGATCGATGATGGTCCTGTGAATAAAACATAAACTGCTGAGGGTCACAACAGGAAGTTCACGATAACGTCTGCAGGAAGTGACCTCAGCACAGTGCCTGTTGCTGTGGTGCGCAGCCTCTCGGCCGGGCTCAAGTGATCCGGCCAGCTCTCATGTTATGTGCGAGAGGTGTTTTTCCTTTCCCATAAATTTCAGGTCTGCAACCACACGGAGGAAGATGCCGTTTCAAATGTCAACTCAACTACAATTGAAACACTGCAGAGAGCTGCACGAAGGTTCAGGACTCAACTGGTCATTAAGCTTAATTCACTTTTTTAATGCTGATTTGTCTCAAGTTAGGGGAAATTGAAGCAAAAAAAAAAAAAGTCATAGCTATCAGAGGGAGATTAAAGTCAGGATGATTGTCAGGTCAGGCAGGATGAGCAGGACTCAGCAGTTTGTGGTTGCAGTGTGTCCAACAATGCTGATATACAGGTAGATCAATACAAACTGGCATGAGTCATACAGAGGAGGTCTTTTGTAAAAGGCATTTGCTGATTGAAGCGGTTTTACGTCATGTGCGAAAAAAGACCTCTGTGGGAGGGTTGAAAAATTGGGAAACAGTTTTTAGGAACTGTTCTTGTCTCACTGACGTCTGCTTGAACTCTTCTGTCACTTCACATGCAGACACCTTATCCCCGAGCGGTAAGAAGATGCAGTAACCGGAGGCACCCATCAGTCACAGGCTATCAGAATGTGAAACCAAGATTGCCAAATTGAGGTTAATGTGAACCATTAGCCTGACAGTACGACCTTTGACTTGGTCTTTTCGCCTGGACTTCTCTGCCGCAGCGTTTGGAGTCTCGAGAGATTTTTCGTCCTGATGACACATTCTTACATTTGACATAAATGTCTTCCTCTGCAGGTGAGGAACATAGCTGTGAGCCACACCTTCAAGATCGACAAGGCCCGTCGAGAGCTGGGCTACTGTCCGAAGCCCTACAGCCTTGTGGACTCTGTGGAGCAATACCTGAAGTCCAGACAGCCTCGCTCCAGATCGGCTCTTTTCAGCGTCTCCTGGACCTCCCAGCTGCCCCGACACCTCCTCGTCATGCTGCTGCTGGGCCTCAGCCTGCTGTTGCTGATGCTGTCCTGCATGGTCTCTTCCAACTAAACAATGTTCACTGTGAAAGTACTGGATGGACAGGCAATTAAATGTTTGATGATGTATTCTCGCCACATGTGACTTATTTATGAAATAAAAATTCCCGAAATATAAGTCTTCAGAACATCAGGTTATGTAATAATTTCTCCCATCTTTTTGATGTTGGTATACGTGTCCACTTTCTAAATGATGAAACTACCAGGCTGCTGAAAAGTATTACAGTTGTGTGAATGTTATTGATTTCTCTTACCGTTTGAAGTTAATTAGACTGTATAACACATATTAAAATGTCATTGATTGTATTTTAAGCATGTTTCCAGGTTCTCTGATAAATATTTGTTTTGATTTACACATCTTTAGAGTTAATATTTAATTAACATTTTGTACATGTTTAGAAATAAAGCAGTAACAATAAATGCCTTCAATAAATGTCCTCTTCCCTCTACTGTAATGGTAAAAATATGCATTTGAACTTTGTGTCCTTGATGTGAACTCGCAGTGAACTCTAAAACATACGTGTCATCTATTAAGGAAAATGGCTACTGGAAAAGTAACAAAACTACTTGCAAAGTGGCAAGAACAACTTGTTCCTTACATGGAGTAAAGAAAGTGCAGACTAAGCAGTAATCAGAACTCGTGGTTGAAACACCTCATGTTACCTTGAATGTATCGAAGCTGTGAAAATCCAGCTGGATGCAGCAGACAAAGCCCTCGTGGGTGCTGTGCCTTTGAGAAATAACGTGTTGCTGTATAAATAAAGGGGCTTGTGTGTTACATATTTTGAAGCATCCACACAGTCTACTGAATACGTAGCTGTTGTGTTTTATTCCCTCTTGCAAGAGAATAAACGGACAAAGACTACTTTGAATCTTGTTAAGACTTTATTATTGATTTGTGAACAAAACTCTCTTCTCCCGATTAACATAGAAATCTTCCACAACACTACTTAAGTGAAAAGTATAATTTTTAGTTCCAGATCCAGCATGTCACGTTGGAAAACTAAGCAGTTTTTTTATTATTATTTTTTACCTGTAGACTGCCACACGAGTGCGCCCTTGCACCGTCAAAGATTTTCCCGGTGGTGTGTAATAATCGTAGCATCAACATGAGTTTTGGGGTATTTTTGGGGCGTTTTTTTTCCTTGCGTATCTGTTGACTCAGTTTGTGCATCTATTGGTTTTCTACCAAGAAAAACAACAAAGAACTGGCAGCGGTGGGATTCGAACCCACGCCATCGAAATGACTGGAGCCTAAATCCAGCGCCTTAGACCACTCGGCCACGCTACCACCGTGCAGCAACCGCGTGATATATTATATCTTGATACCGGAAGACAACGGTGGAAACACGAGTGCCAACCGGGCAGAGTCCTCTTATATCCAGACTATGGTTGTAGACTAGTACAGACAGCCTTACTTAGTGTTGACAATGTGAATGACTGTAGTATGCGGATGAAGAGTTTACAAATTGAAGAGCAGAAGAGGAGGCAATAGATAGAGGAGGATGAATCAGGTGCTGTGACCCCCACGAGGTCCACAGAGGAAGAATTACAGTGTAAAGGGAGGAATCTCATCAAGTTCAAGGTAAAGGAAAAACATCACTGGCAAAAACAAAATTGAGGTAATAAATCAAGAGAGAAGGACTTTTACGCTCCAGACTATCTTTTCCACTGGAAGCAGAGGTGATACCAACTTTCTCAGTTGGGTGCACGTAAATCGGTACCTCATTGAGTCACCAGTTTGTAGTGTGCTGATAGCTTAATTTCCAGTCCACAGATAGGAGAGACTGGGACTGTAAATAAACTTTTTTTTCCCATGACATAGATTAGTCCCAAATAATGATAATTTTGAGGGAGTGGCTTTTAGAAGGAGGCCTGAAGTTGTTGCCAACAGCGTTTGTGAATCCAGTTTCCTTGTTACTGTGCAGCTTTATTTTTACAGTATCTTTAGTCTTCTAGTCCTAGACCTGTACTGATTGCTATGCCGATGCCTTTGTAAGATGTCTGCTTGTGTGCTTACGGTCTTGCCGAGACCTGTCCCATTTAGTCATGCTGGTATGCAATCCCCTTGTTTGGAGGTTTATTGGATTTGAAAGCATGGTCGGGAAATCTCAGTTATGTAAAACCTAATTATGAAAACAGACAAAGCCCCATTAATTGTTTGCTGGACCTCAGAGTTCGCTGGGGGATGGAGGACTTCCAAGAACGAGGATTCCTCTGGGTTCTGTTGGAGAGAAAATGCTTCTCTGCTGTTGCGTTGGAGGACAGGTTGAAACATCTCTACACACACACACACACACAAACTACGTAGTGATGCTTTCTCTCTTGCTACAGCGCCCACAATTCAGCTTTCAAATGCACGCACTGGTCATGCCACAGTTGGTGTTTTCGACATTAGACTCAGTGAAAAGTCAACAGGCTGTTGCATCAATGTTTTAATAACTAGTTAGAAGAAAAGTTTCACAGCTTCAAAAACAGCACATTGCTAAATGCCACACTATACGCAACTGTATGTTATTACATCAGCATTGTCAATTGAGCATCTTCTTTCACATGATCGTCACATCACATGGAAAGTGAAATTGAAGTGTTTCCATTGTTCATGGTAACCTGATCAACACAATTTCAGTTCTACATTAAGAGCAGGAAATGTCCAAGTCAGAAGCAGGAAATTGTTAATTAACAAGGGAATATTTTTGCCTCTGTGTTGTTTTTCCATAACCTGCAACAGACAGAATATAAACATCCAGAAAATAAGCACCTCAGTGTTAGTATTACTTACTCAGCTGACCAATCTGCTCTGCATATTTAACAACAAAGAAAATAAATATATTTTAATTTTCACTGAACTTCTTTGAAATAAATAAATAAAATAGGATTTAGTCATAAAAAGTGCAGAGCTGTTATGTGTCTTTCTGATATAAAGACAGTATTCTAGTGTCCACTAATATTTCTCTGGTGACACGCCAATGGCCCTCAACTGGTGAACCAACTATTGCCAACTTACAAAACCAACTCACGTTAGCTGTTAAGCTAATTATCATAAACTCCTGAGTCTTGAGGTATTACAAAGCTACAGTTTTTCATCCTATTACAACATTCCTGTTTAAATAAGTCATACGTAACGTATAACATTTTATTCTTACTATACATATCTCCCAATACAATAATTCTTTCATCTATAGGTTTCAGTTTTTTTTCAAATGTGTTGTTGAACTTGTAAAATGACATCAAATCACAAAGCTGCTTTATGTAACACATTTTATAACACTTCATTTTTTGATGAGGACGGAATAAAGGGAACAGTGCTGACTAACAAAAGCATAGACGTATCAAAATGACAGGAGATAAGAGGATTGTAAATTGCCAAAGATATTGCATCTGCACCCTCTGGATATTTTTTACAACAAAGCAAACCTCCAAGTTTCTCCTTTTGTCAACAAACTTTGACAGACAGACCAGTGTAAGTCCCAGGATTATGAATAACACAATCATCCTTGGGCGTCACCGTCGTCCACTGGACCTCTGCTGGTGCCGAGGTCGTCTTTGGTCTTTTGGATGCAGGTGAAAATCTCCTTGAAGAGAGCCTTGTACTCGGGCTGCTGGCCGTCAAGAACCACTGTCGGATCAGACGGAGCAGCAGACGACCGGCGGCGGCGGGTCCGGCTGCTCGCTAAGGGACCGTTGGGCGTCTGCACGGCTTTATGGCTTGGCCCGTCTGCCTGCTGGCACCGCCGCAGCAGCTCTTCATACTTCACCTAAACAACAGACGTATTTTAGGGAAGTGCATACATTTTCTTTAACTGTGGCTTTTTGAAAAAAATCATTGAATTTTGCAACAAACTCTCTAACGTAGAAAAAAAAAATACATTTTCCTGAATATTGATCATACATAAATTGTACTGGACATGCTATGCATACGCCACCTGCAGTGCGCTGTACTGTGCATCCACCTCGTTTAGCAGAGAGATGCCCCTCTGTTTCACCGCCTCCGCTCGCCTTATACACAGCTGCTCGTGACCGCGGCGAATCTCGTCTGCGCTCGCCGCTCTCAAAACGCTGTCGCTGTTGCACATCTGCCGGATGTATTGTCTCTGCTCCTCGTCCTTTTCTACCTTCTGCTCGATCTCGTCCTGCCCTGGGCTGGGTCTGTCTTCTGAGGCAAAGAATACTTCATCAGGCAGCAGCAGCTGCTCCGGTCTTCTGATACTGGGGGAGATTGGAGGGGGACAAGGAGGTGTAAGTCTCAAGTATTTTGAGGAATATTTACACCTATTATAGGTCTGTTCTTGTGCTGTACGTCAAATGTTGTATCACTAATAATTTGACAATTTGAATCTGGTTTGTAAATACAGTAAGTTAGGCCTACCTGTTGGCACGGTCAGCGCGCCACAGAAGCCGCAGCTGCTCCACTTCGGCCTCCAGCTCCTTCTTCCTGGCTCGGCAGCCGGCCAGCGAGTCCAACCGCTGCTCCAGGCCTCTGTTCTCCCTGGAAGTCAACTCACTCTCTTGCTCTGCAGCCTCCCTGCAGCTCCGCTCCACAGCTATCTGGCTCTGAAGGGTCTGGACGGAGCGCTGGAGAGCTGCGTTCTCCCCCTCCGGGTCTTGGCGTCTGTCTCTGTCATAGAAAGAGCCCTGCAGGGACCAGAGTCCATCCACGCGCGGACCATCGTGGGCCGGATGCCTGAGCCGGGAAACGGAAATGTCAATAAATGTGTGAAAATAGCACTTCAAAACAAACTCACAATACATGAATAGTTTCATACAGAGGTGTAGCCAAGGGGATCATTTTTAGTTTGGCCTTCTTTTACAGTTTCAGTTTAATTCACTAACTAAAACCTCAATTAACAGTGTCTCATAGCGAGTGATCTGTAGGGTTTTTTCCCCCCTGGGTTTTGTCTTTCTACTCAGATTTTGTCTTATTGTTTTGTTGGAGGTTGTCGGGGACTCGGCAACTTCATAGGGAGACCACTTAGGGCTGAAAAAACAAATTCACCTCCCCCACATGCTATTCTTTTAGGGTCAGCAAAAATCATTTAATCTATGCTTTTAATGCAGTAAAGGAAAGTGCTGAGATTATTCATCATAAAGTGTTAGATCTCCATCAAGGAAACTAAAGGGTTAATGCATTTATTAAGCAGCATTTAAAATGTTGGTTATAGTAATAATAATTTAATATACTATACTCATAATATGCTATTTACTAGACCTCTTGCTTCATTGTTTGCACTGCTGAAACGCCCCTTGGGAGCTGCCATGACACATTTTCTGTGTACATATATACAGAAACATAGGAGGCTTACTACTACATTTTAGGTTAACAATTGTTTTGTTGAGTAACAAACAATAAGAGTATAACAGTATAACAATAACAGTTGTGTGTATGCTAGTACGCTGGTGACAATATTGGAGGATTAACCTCCTCCTCCTTTGGATTATGTCTAAAGGGGGACGTCTGGTCGGGCTCTGGGTGACCTGTAGGTGTCCAGTCAGCATACAAGGGGCTGAGACAGCAGTGCGCTGAGGTTAAGAGATGATCACACAGGAACACTTACTAGTGTTCCTGTAATGGTTGGTAAATATGTGTCATCACTACTGTGACTTTATTTCACAATATTGTCTGGATCTACCGCACATTTTCCCTCTCTGAAAATAGTCCCTCTGTCTCATCCTGCGGTTCTGCTATTAGCACTGTCCACCAGAATATGTGCACTGACTCACACACACATGAAATACCTGTCATGGTGTAAGTCATACAGCTCTTTGAGGCAGGACACACTCTGTGCTCCCAGGTGGCGTCGCTGCTCTGCCAGCTCTCTTTTGTTTCGCTCCGCCTGGGCAGTCTTCAGCTCCTCCACCTGGGTCTGCAGGTCCTCCATGTAGGTCTGAAGCCCTTCGATAGTCTCTGTCAGACTGACGGGAAGAGAAGAATGTGGCTCTGAGGTTCTGCACTCAGTCAAATGATTGATATCCAATTATGCAAAATGTAATTTAAAAGACAAATTAACTGGCAGACGGACCTGTGGATCTTCTGCTGGGCCAGGCGGCTGTCCTGCACTAGCCTCAGGTTGCCTTGCTCCAGATCTCGGGCGGCCACGTCTAGCTGCTCGTACACTCTGGCGTGCTGGTCGTTCATCTGACGCAGCAGGTCCACCTGCTTGTTCAGGTGCTGGTGAATAAGGGAGGGAAATAACAAAGATTTAACTTAAGGTTCATTAATAGATACACGTGTATTAAATCAATTAGTCTGCAATGGTCAGGTAAAACGAATGTGCATGTTTTCTATGTTTTGTATAATTGCAGACCGAATATTTTTATGGTTCTGAGCTGTTGCACCAATAAAAAAAGATATTTGAAGACGTTGAGCCTTGGAAAATAGTATTGGACTTTTAAATTTTTTATTTTGAAGCCGTTTAGTTATTTAAAACCTCTTTAAAACTTACCCATAGAAAAGAAAGAAGCAAGTTTTACACTCACATTTGGTTTTATATCCCAAGCCAATATATTTTATTACCGAACAAACAAAGGCTTCCTTAGAAGCAAAGAGCTGCCAACTAAGGGCCTTTAAAAGGAGAAATATAACATGAGTCTGTGAGCTATATTGCATGGTGGACAAGAATGTACCCATTACCGAAAAAAGATGTTTCTGCAATAGCCCCCGTCTCTTCTTTAAACTAAATGACTTTTCTCTGGTAGAGATCAATGCAACCATCTATCTAGTGTAGCAGCACAGCCCCTGTATCCTTGAGACTGTCATTAGTGCAGTGGGTAGCACCAGTGGCGGACGCTGCGTGAGGATGAGGGTCAGAGAGACGTATGGGGATTAACATATCAACCTCAATAGGCCCTCTAACTACCGTAAACAAATTAAGGCTCTTATCTTTGTTGGCCTGATTAAGGCCATGTGCTCGAACTAATATAGATCATTCAGCACTGTCTTCATATGCCAAAAATAAATGTCTGAGCTCTGAAACAAAAGACCTAATTGTGTTTATTTATAACCTGAGAACTCCCAGGTAAAACTAGATCCATGCTCTGCTGTATGAAGGTAGACTGACATAACTGCCAGACAGTTTGATCTTCTATTGATTTTGGGATTATATATGAATAAAAAAAATAAAAAAATACAACGTTTTGTAAATATTTGTTACTTGAACCGTGTCCAAGGTGGCAAATAAGGTGGTGAAAGTTTTCCTATAATTAGGTAGACGAACATCCTGCCAGGAGGCCGCACTCAGGCTCTCTACTGTAAATCAGACTGGTCAGGATTAGCTTTTACTCAAGCCTATTTAAAGGGGAGAGAAATTCACAATGACAGTGAAAGGGAAGGGACATTTTTCAGATCTCTCAACGGGGACTTCTCTCCCATTGGACTGTATACACACTACGTTTTTGCATAGTGAAATGGATATGCCTTCCTCAAAGCGAGTTTAGCGCTTCTGGAGCTTCAGGAACTCTTGATTAGTTCCCTCCTAACATTTATCACCTCTATCTCCTGCAGCTGCTCCTTGTTGGTGGAGTACATCTGCTGCAGGGCCTGCTCCAGCTCACAGTTCTGGTCCAGCAGGGTTTTCCCGAGCTCCGCTGCCAAGTGGAGATCTGTCAAAACACAGGAAAACATGTAAACACACGATACAAGACACTTCCAATGCCCAAACACAGGCAACGGATAGAACTAGATGTGTAAAGGGGGCGGGCACACACACACACACACCTACCTCTTTGTCTCATACAAAGAGGAATCTAAGGCATGCTTTGGGATCTCCTTGTGAACCGTTCTCCCACTAAACTCTGTTAAAAGTCTGGATATTTTCCAGCAACATTGCTGAATCGGCCTCTGAGCTGAAGTGAAGCATGACTTATGTGGGACTGCTTTAATAACAATGCAATGAAACCAAACATGTTTCACGCAATACGCAGTGTATGCCCAGTGATTTTGTTTTTACTCAGACACGTCACGTGGCGACCAAATAACAACCTTGATCCCTACTTTTAAAGTCCTTAGAGTTGGTAGCGGAGAGGAGGATGCTGCACAAACTGTTAATCCAAACAATAAAACAGTTATATGAAGCTCCTCTGTAAAATGCAACAGGAAGTCTCTCCTTCCTGCTGCCATCACTCAGTAGAACAAGACACATTTTTTCCCCTACAACTTGGACGAACTGCTCACTTGGTCAATAATGAACCCATAGTAGTTAATTAGGGCTGCCACTAATAGTTCTTTTCATTATTGATTCATCTGCCAATTATTTTCTTGATTGATTTGTCGTTTCCTAACTTCTGAAACATAGTAAGAAATTGGCATTTTTTTCTTGGTGAAATAGTTGCTGGTTGTTATTTGATTAAATCGACGAATAAGTTCAGTTCTATAATTTTTCTGTTGTTGATCTTTCCAATACTCTGTTGCACTTTTCGGACATTCCAAGAATCTGGCTGCATTTAGCTCTTTGTTATCTCATATCCCTGTATTGTAACACACATCTCTACCTGCGAGTACACACACAACGTATATTAGAATTACAAATAATCCTATTATGTAGGCAAGCGCAATCCCGGACCTTGAGACACAGGACATATTAGAGAGTCAGGTTCTAGTTTCATCAAAGTTATTTCTTCTTGTTCATGGTCATATTTTTTTTTTTGCATGATTAGTGTTACTTGCCTGCTGTAATTGCAATGTCTCTTGTGCGTTAATAAAGTACTCCACCTCTAATTATGTCTCTTTATCTCAAACCCAGTCCAGTTTGTGGACTTGTCAGCAGCATAGACACACATGAGAAGAAAGCATTTCAGAAAACAAACAACACAGGACCTGTGACAGCTGCAGGCAAACCTTGGCCACAGCCTTCAACACATGACTAGGTGTGAGTATGTATCACAAGTGTAGACGATAGACTTCAATCTAATTTCATCTCTGAGCCCATTAGAGCTTGTCATGTCATCATGTGCAGAGAAAACCAATATAATGAACTTACAAGCAACCACAGTAGCCTACTTCAACTGTTTATTTATTGTCAAACTTTTTAGCTGATGTGATAATAACACAGTTAATTAAATTATTCTGCTATCTGTATGCATCTGTCTATTCAGTAATAACACATCAGCCCAGCCGGTCAGACAGAGTTTAGTTTAGTTTAAGAGCCGAGCAGCTCTTACCATGTTCCAGATCGCGTGGGTCGTACCACGCCTCTCCATTCTTGTCAAAATCTTCCTCCAGAATCACGTCAGTTAACATTTTACAGCCGCCGGGTGAGTCTCTGTTTGGCGGCTCCACCTGAGAGAAACCTGACACGCAGGTGGGTGTTCAAATAAGCAGTCAGAAGTTGTCCGCCGTCCACCACCGTGCGTGGAGGAATGTAAACTACATCCTTGTCCCGGTGTGTGTGTGTGTGTGTGTTTGTGTGGGGCGTTAAGTCTGTTGTCTACCGCAACGTGGCAAATACACTCCAGCATCCGGCAGGTGGCAGATATAATTAAGATAAAAAAAACCCATTTATTTTAAAACCTATTTATTGTAACTGAATATTTAAATTATTTGTAATACGATTCACAATCAAGTTTTAAAGAAAAGCTTAACATGCTTTAAAATGTTTCCGTTTGTCTTATTTCCTGCTTCCGTTGACAGCCAACGGAAGCCTTGTCCACCAATCACGAAGCAGTAAATTGGTCCAAAGAACTCTTCTGACCAATCAGATGTTTGTTTGTTCTGTAGAATCACCCGCGCGCCTCCGCTGCAGCAGGAATCGAGTTTGACATGATTTCCATTTGAAACAGTTTCAGCACACAGTTAGTCGTGTCCTTACCGGGTAAAAAAAAAAAACATCGTGTCAACTAATAACTTCACTATGTTTGCTATTAACATGCTAAACAACAGCGTCACATAGTTATCAGAAGCGATAACATCTCGCTCCAGCCAGACCGACAGGTAACTTCATCGTTACCTGAGTTACCCGAGCAGTCGCGGAGAAGACAGCTGGCGCGGGGAGAATGGATGTAGTGCGACAGTCGATCAACTTTGGGCTCAATCCAGCAGCTGTGGCTTATTCTATGACCACACTGGGATCTGGCATGATAAACAACATCTTTAGCTTCTACTATGTCAAACTCTTTCTCAATAAGTACAAGATATCAGAGGGAGCATTCCACCAATCACAAGTGAGTGTTTTATCTTGACATAATGCTGTTAATAAATCCTGTTATACAATTAAACTCGTCCGGCCGAGGAGGAGGCATACAGTAGTGGAGACAGGATCCTGTACAACCAAGCCAACAACATTGTTCATTTTGGCAATAGTGATGTCTTCATGTTGGGTGTTTCATCCGGCCAGCTGTCCAAAACTCAAAGATAGTCAATTTACAATCATGCAAATTGGAGAAAAGCACAAAATCCTCACATTTGAGAAGCTGGAACGAGCTTCAAAAACAACTCTCTGTTGATCGACTTATCAGTAAACAGTTTGAGCACTACTTGAAACACTTAAATTAATATCTCCACAGGTGGTGTACATGGTGTGGAATGCAATCAATGACCCTCTTTTTGGCTACCTGCAAGATAACTCCAGGGTGCCCTGCTGCTCCCAGAGACGTCTCTCCATCCTGTATGGTGCTCCCCTATACTCACTGGCTTTTCTTATAGCCTGGTTCCCATGGCAGACCTACGCCCCCGGTGACTGGTTGAGCGGCGTACACTTGATGGTGGCGCTGTGTGCTTTTGACGCCATGCTGACTTTTGTGCTGCTGGCACAATGTGCGTTGTTTGCAGAGATCTCCAGCCACCATCAGAGCCGACTAAGACTTGTAAAGTACAGCCAGGTAAGGACTTTGTGTACCAAACGCTTCCACTGTCTTTCCTCTGTATGCCTCTGGAGCCGACAGGGTAACTGTTTATCCCTCTCATATCCTTCACTTTTTATTTCCCAGGTGGCTTCTCTCCTTGGCTCCTCCAGTGTCCTCTTCTGTGGTGTGTTGTCCAGTAACATGGAGGACTTTGCGTCCTTCCAAGCCTACACCGTGCTGATCGCTGTCGTGAGCTGTGTCTGCATGCTCTACACGGGCCTCCACAGTGCGAGCCGCTTTGATAACAAAGGATCTGAATCAGACGCACTGGAGTCTCCTGACCAGACTTCCCATCAATCAGGCTTTTCCTTCTCCATGTTAACAACTTTGACATGGCAAATTCTGAGCAACAGGGACTTCCGGCTTTTTGTGTGCATGAACTTCTTCCAGGTTTTTGTGTTGGCTTTCTTCAATAATTTTACCATGATATTTGCTGAGCACCTGATTCCTCCAGATGTGCTTCCATCACTGGCCAAGAGCATCATGTACGGAGCGGGATTCATCTGTCCACAGGTATTTGTCCCTCAGTGGCTTTTTGTGTCCATTTGTCCTCCCGTTACCTCAAAGGACCATACTTACTGTTACAACATAGCTCATGGATACGATGCTTCTAGGCAGCCCACTCTCAAACTCGGAGCTCAGAGCTCTGTACAATCACCTGAATGCAACAGCCAGAACATATTTGTCATACTACTTTATGTTTATGTGCTGTTCCTGACCCCTTTTCTCCGTCCCAGCTGTTAGTATTGAGCTGTCAGAGTCTGCTCCATGATGTTGGCTACTACCGGATAATCCTCTTCACCTTCTACATGGAAGCTGGAATGGCAGCTGTGATGCTCGCACTCGGTCCTCAGCACTACTATTTTATGGCATTTTTCCTCACCGCTAACATGTAAGAGGTCATACAACTGTTATTCTAACACTCTTTCTCTTTTTCTTATAATTACAGTTCATTATGACTGCACTTTGATTGAGTTATGCCTTCAGTCTCTCCCTTATCTTCTATGCAGGGTCATAATACAGGCAGCCTTCAGTCTTTTTGGCTTGGCTTTGGCTGACATCATTGACACAGACCTGCAGAAGTACAAGCGCAGGTAAAACATAATTATCAGCATACGTCCACAAACTCGGTCATTCGTCACATACAAATTTACAGCACGTCATCAGACAATAAACATGAAATTAGGCAATAGCATATTTTTGTTAGCAGTGCCAAATGATCTATCTAATGAAGCCAATCCATCATGTTGTTATTTATTTTATAATCAAACATATTCCTGTATCATATTTTGCCTTCTCTACAGTTCCCCTCTCTCCTCCATGGTCTTTGGGACGAATGCTCTGTTCACTAAGCCGGCTCAGTCTCTAGCCCCAATGATGGTGCTCAATATCCTCAACCAGTTTGGATATGAACAGCTGAAGGACGCTGGAAGGGATTCAAATATAAGGTAAGTCTGACAAAAAAAAACACACACAGTAAAGCAGTTATTTTTATGGATTGTTGATGGTAACCATTCTGTTGTAGTACTAATTCAGTATTAAGTAATATGCGTTTGCTCCCCTAGGCTTAGCCATAATCTTTATTTATATTATAAGACCATCTCCCAAAGCATGCCTTCAGTGTTCAGTTTCTATATTATGAAACTTAACTTCCAGTAAATTGATTTGTGATGGATTGAAAGCAACTTTTGGAGGATGGGTTCACTCTTTTTCAGGTGTGTCTTAAGAGAATAGTCGGGTGCCCATATGAACACTGTAACAGGTTTTGCTTGCTGTAATCATTCCCCCGGTTCATACTGGCTAATAAGAGCTAAAGCCTCATGTAAACTCGGATAAACTTTGGAATATATTTTTGTGTAGCAGTAGAGGACTGTGGATTTTGTCATCTTTTTACTTTGGGACCACATCAGGAATTGATCTCTTCACAGCCAGCATGACCAGAAGGAATTATTACAGCCAGCCAAAACAGTTTCACTGTACACATGGGCACCTTGTAATTTCATTTTACAAAAATATTAACCTTTCAATTGGGTTTCAAAGGAATGGGAGCCAGCTTCACCCTGGAAGCAGCAGTGGGAAAGCCAATCTATAAACCTTTATTATACTTATAAAATGAACATTTGTAATGTAAAGTATACATATCTTAGTGAGTGTGGTCCTTATTAAAATCATTGATCTTAATGGTTGGTGATTTTAAAGCTCAGACACTTTGAAGTAACAGCAGTTGCCTTTTTCCCCATCAAGTTTATTTTCAACTGAATACATGTCGGTAACTAAGTCTTTATTTTCAAAGGTCACCTGTAATTGTTGATTGTTGCATAACATTGTGCAGCAAGGGAAATGGTGTAATCTAAATTGCAGCAGTTCTAAATAAATATAAGCATACAAACACTTGAACCAAATGTCTCCTTGTTTGCAGCGCCTCAGAGAGTCTCCATAGTGTCATGTTCTACTTGGTGTGTCTGGTGCCCATGTGTGTCGCCGCTCTGCAAGCACTCGCTTGGAGGCCGTTCTCCATACGCAACAGTCACACGGTTGACACAAAATACGTTGACGGCTGACTTCAATATTTTAGTGTTCAAAGGAAGCCTGTTGCTATTTCTTCGGCTGGGATTTGAGGAAATTCTTTATGGCCAAGTATGAGATTACGTTCCTTCTTTCACTGTATATTCCAGGATTATACTGTGTGTGTGGGTGTGTGTGGGTGTGGGTGGGTGGGTGTGTGTGGGTGTGGGTGGGTGGGTGGGTGGGTGTGTATAGCTACAGCTAATTAACAGGAACATCCTGCATGATTGTTGTGCTCTTTAATAAAGGACCAATACCTCAGAAGGTATGTGAAACATACTGTTTTGTTCTTAATAGAGGAACTGTACTTTGAAACTGAATGTAAATTAAGATAGTCTTGACAATAAGTGTTTCATACTGTGAAAAATACAAGTATCTTTCATTAATGGTAACAGCCAATACAAATTCTTTTTTAAAAAAAAGCTTTAGCAGCTAAAGGTCTACCTCCAACATTTGGTTATATATGATTAGTTGCTTCAGTGCATTTTTGCTTTAAACATGAGCAAAATTAGCAGTTGTAGATTTAATTCCTGCCATGCTCCAAAATACAGTGATTCAACTTGATGGTCTGATATGCATTTATTTGATCGATCTGTGGGGCCTTATGCAGACCTGTGTGTCACTGTAAATTATAACCAATACTTGAGGAGAGCTTAAATGTTTTACGTCAAAACGCGGCTCACACCACTCAGGCTGAATCATAGGAGATAGAAGGCAGAAAGGGAAGAATTCACACGCACTATGACCAAAGGATGTTTGAGTGAATGGTATAAATCCAAAATTTCATATCACAGCTTTAATGTGTAAAAATGCACATTGACATGTAAACATCCTCTTTGACTTCATAAAGTACATTCTAACGTTAACTGTCTGGATTGTTTCTGTTGGTATTTGCATAAAAGTTATTGTACAGAATATGACACCGCAAGATGCTTCACAAACACATCAAGTTGAATTATTGCCTTACTGTAAGTTTATCAGTTGATGATCGTTTTTCAGAGCAAAAGCCACTTCAGCATCAAAAGTACAACCTTTTGCTCTATACTACTGCCACTGCTATTCTATGTAAATAGATCAGTAATGTGCCTCTAATGTCATTACGTTGTTTAAAATGATTTTATGTTTTATGTACAGTGTTCTTGCTTAATAATGCGTTTGTACACAACTATTACCAGAATGTTGAGACAAGTTTGTGATTCACAAATATATAGAAGGAATTAACTTGAGGAATTAAAATCATGTGACTCTGCTGGATTTCTGAATTGAACTGGATTTTCTTTATTTCTTTTCCCATGTAAACACTGCCCTGTTTTTTTTAAAAAAGGTTGAAGGTGCTCCCACATTAATTACAATCAACAGAACATAAATAAAACTATAATGCCTTCAGAGAGAGTCTGTCTGTCCATCACTGCTGAAACTGGAAAATTGTTTGTTGTGGTTGTTATGTCTCACTTCATGAGAAAAGGTGAGCAAGCACTCGATTAACTTGCAGCCTTTGATGATTTGCTCCCTTCCTCTGTCACATAATGGCGTCCTCTGTCAGGTGGTTCATGGCATCAGAATTTCCACTCGACCCTGATGATGGAGGTCTGAGTCGTTTAATATCCTTTTATGACACCTAAACATTTTGATAGACGTCATCAGTTGAGGTCTTGAACTCCGTGCTTGCAGCCTGCAACGAGATTCAATTACATGTGAAAATGACGGTAAGACTACATATGTGCTGTAACACAAGCTATGCAGAAGTGTCTCGCTTACTCAATCTGTCTGTCTGACTCAATCGAACCGCAACATGCTGCAACATTATTTACCTCAGCTTGAGGACGGTTTCTGCTCACAGTTTTTTTGCCTTTGTCCAATTTCCCTTTGCTGTACATTTCTTGAAGCACATCACCAAACTGTGCTGTTTTAGTTGAGTTTTTCTGTTTGGAAAGTTAAGAACAAATTTGTTACAAACCAGAGATATTTAGAGATTTTTTTTTTCTTCTAGGTGTTAAGAAAAGCTGGTCAACAACTGCTTTGTCATTTGTGGTGTTGTAAGAGCCTTTTCTGGCCAGTAGTTCACACAGGCGTTGGTTCCTGTTCCTGTTTCTGCTTCTGTTTTACCCCGTTTTGTAAACACATCAAACACAAATGAAAGAAAATCAAGTAGTTATTTCTAACCTTGTCAGTTTTGCGCACACTTCTGCAGACGCTCATATTGCAGCCACACTGGAACAGAGAGGAACACACATTTCACAACAGCACATTTTCGGTGTTCCGTCTCATTTGTATGAACTTCGATAGATCTTAACAATACACCACATTTTAAATGAATATCTGAATGTATTTTACCTTCTTTATCATAAGTGCCACTACTGTCGTGCTGTAGATGGCCAAGAGGGCAAATGATACCCATATAATGGGCTTCATCATTGTTCTTTTTTGTTCTGAAAACAAAAGAAAATCTGTCTCTCCCAATTCATCTTAAATCAACACATCTGAGCCTCACCTGTAATTTTAGACTCTTACCCCTAACCACAAGAGTTGTACCCAACCCTACATATTGGGCGCCTTGTGCTGGGTTTTCTCTCGATACTGCACAGTGGTAGATCCCGCTGTCATTAACGTGAAGTGACTTGATGTTTAAAGATGCTCCGTCCAGGCTGTACCTGTGATTATCGCCATTCAGGTTGAGACGGAGATGGCAGTTTTCCTTAAAGGTAAACCACTCATAATGCAGGCTGGCTGAACAAGGTGGACTGACGATACACTTGAGAACAGCAAATTGTCCGGGTTTCCACCACATCATCTTGTTTGGCTGTGATAAGCAGCTCTCTAGAATGAATAGACGAGACATTTAACAGATGAAACGTTCATTTTCTAGCCCAAAATGTTTCAGAGAAACCACAAAACTACTGTTGAAAAGAAGCTGTTATGCCCAATTCTTATTGCTTATGTTGAAAAAATGTATTCCCTAAAAAAAAAACATGATTCCCTAAAGGACTAATATACATGATGCTAAAAAAGACATCTTACCCGTTACTGGCAGGTAGCTGAGCAGGAGAGAGAACCAAACCAACCGGTCCATGTCGGAGGCTTGGCAGTTTGTGAATGATCTCATTATTACTTGCATGAAGCTGACAACATGGGAAGTGGGTATATTGCACTTCCTCTAGACTTTGTTCCTACTTATTTTCCTATCTTTTGCAACTCAATGGTAACGCTTTGGATTTTCATAAACATGAGGCATTTAATTGTGTTTGTAGTAAAATTACATGATAACGATGGTAAAATAAACAACGATTTATGATATCAAGTGCAAATAGATTTACAGATGAATGAATGGTCAGAATGATGACATTTTTATGTCATACAGTAAATCAGCCTGTTATCGCCAAATATGAACAACATTTTCTGTAAGAAGTAAGAAGTGAACCATCATCTCTGTGTGCAGGCGATGGAGCAATCTAGGAAAGGAGTAAATTCAGAAAGCAATATGTAATGTAGTGAAATGTTGATACAGCTGAGCAAACTTTTTAAGGGGGTAAAAGACAACTAAATATCTAGATTGGTTTGCTATATATATACACATATATATATATATTATAATATATAATTAAATACACAGTGAAGCTGGGGCTTTTACCGGGCCCCTATAGCCTATAGGACCCCACTTTGCCCAATTGGAAAACCATCTTTAATGACTTGGCAGCATATTAGCATTAGGGCTCTGATGTTGATAATATAAAGCTGCAGCACAAAAAAAATGCAAAGTGCATGTTAAAGGCTGGATTCCTAGTTATTTTACATATGAATATTTGACCAACAGTAAGTAAAGTTGCTAGAAAATGAACCTCGACCAGCTTCAACATTAAATAGCTGCCTACATGTTAATACACTGGTAATAACAACCCAGTGATGTGTAATTATATCATCTATCCTATTACACTGGGTCATTTTATCAAAACGTCAGTTAAATGCTGCCGGTCCCACCCAATGTAATCGGCTCCTCGTCATTCACACAGGGCTCAAGCATCTGCTCCCTTTCCGGCCAGTTTGTTGTAGGCGGGTCTTCTCGTGCTGTCAATCAGATTCTGATCCAATCGGAATCTCTCTGTGTGTTTTCTCACGCCCCCTTCCACGTCGACCTGTACACTCGCCATATTTTCAATCCCGTACAGCCCAAAGACCGGCTCGCTGCTAAATTGAGGAAGAGAAGCTTTCATCCATTTAGTTTGAAACGGTCTACTTCAGAGGATTAAAGGGACATCTGCGTTAGCTGCCCAGCTGGTCTCTGTTCTTTCAATCTGCAACAATGAACGTCTTCAGACTGACAGGAGACCTCTCTCATCTGGCTGCTATCATCATCCTGCTACTCAAAATATGGAAAAGCAGGTCGTGTGCAGGTGAGCCATAGCTATAGTTTGTTGTTTGTTATTTTCCAAACGTTTCTGATTGTCTTTGCCTTTCTTTAAATTGCTTTAAACGGTCGTTTTTAGCCTTCTTTCTTCTTAGCAAGCTCCATGCTAGCTACAGTTAGCTGCATGCTAATGTTTCCAACTCATTCATTGGAGTCTATGGCTAGTAGCGTTAGCAAACTGCTGATAACAACCAGAAATGGCTGTCTGTACCTCTATCACTTATAGCAGCAGTCTACTTGCTAGTTTTACGAGAAATATGTATATTTAAAAGTCGAAGTCAGCATGTCAACATAGTTTAGCATCATCTAACGTTAGCTTTGTTGGGATTGCTAGCACGAGTTAGTTAACCTTAACTATGCTAGCTAAACCAGCTGTACGATGCTTAGTAACGTCCGATGAATTAATACGTTTATTAGATATTTTTTTAGGGGTGGATATTCCTTCCTTCTGTTTCGGTGTTCGGTTTTTCTTTCTCTACACATCACCAGTCCATCTTCTCCTGCTCTGTTAATTTGAGGTTCGGTGCTCGACTTTTTTGGTCTGACTTCTGACGTGGCGTTCGCGAACACGCTGCGGAAGTAGATACTTTTTTTCTTTTACCATTCTTAGTTTCTCTCTTATAACGTGTAACATGTATTAATCTGCACCTTGAAGCACACAGATGAGAATGGTTTGTGGTGTGCTACTTCCGTCATTTGAAGTGCGGCGATTGGCCCGCAAAGCTGGTCCATTGACTGCAGGTTCAAAGTTAATGGAGGTTATGTTAGGTCATGTGTGTTTATGTATAATTTAGGCTAAAGTGGTAAGATGTTACGTAGTTTTTATATACATCTAAGTTATCTCTTCAGTTGAAATTGTTTATTACAGAGAGATTTTTATCTTTAGGAAATCTGTAAATCAAGTAAATTTAATTTCTATTGCCTTAAATCACAACGCATACATTTGCCTTTAATGGTATTAAAAGGTGGGGGAAAAAATGACCAAAAGCTCTCTCTTCCAAGACTGACAGATATAGAATATATGTTGTGTATAATAGATAGAAATAGTGTAATTACACATCAGAGAATGGTAATATTAGGTAAGTTAAGTGCATACACACATGAGAATGTGGATCAGAGAAAATATTGATCAACGTCAAAGTGTTCCCAAGCACCAAGACCTCTGTATCATAAAGACCTGGACAGAGGACAGAGTATACTTACACTGCATAGGCAGAGAGACAGGTATAAGCAAATATGCAGAAAACACTAGATCAATCTCCTGGAGGGTCAGGACCTGTTTATCCTTTTTGGGGATTTGAATCCTATTCCTGCATGAATTTGGCTGAGAATCAGTGGTACGTTTTGGAAAAGTTGCCGGGCTATCACAGGGCTGTAAGGCTACAAATCAGCTCAATCAATCAATTTAATTTAGAGTTTATTATAGTTTATTTGCAAGGGACAGATGAGATGATTTACCTAATACCTATAAAAACAAGTCCAAAAGGATGGAGATTGCAGAATTTCCAGATACATATTCATCATGTTTCCAGTAGATGTCACCGTTCAACAAGGAAACGCTTTTGTGATTCATGTTTTATATTCATGTGAAGGTCTTCTGAAGTTGCTGATGGTTCAACACAAATGTTAACTCTGCTTGATATCTCTGTTAAAGGTATCTCTGGAAAGAGCCAAATCCTGTTTGCTATAGTGTTCACCACACGCTACTTGGACCTGCTCACCTCCTTCATCTCGCTCTATAACACATGCATGAAGGTAAGACCCGAGTCCCGTCGCAGCTCTGACCAGCAGCCTTTTCATACAAGTCCCTTGCTTCTCGCCAGTAGCTCCAATGACAAGCTGCTCTGCTTTGTTTACCAGGTGATCTACGTCGGTTGTGCGTTTGCCACAGTCTACCTGATCTACGCGAAGTTCAGGGCCACCTACGATGGCAACCATGACAGTTTCAGAGTGGAGTTCCTGGTTGTTCCCGTCGGGGGTCTTGCTGTTCTCATTAACCACGACTTCGCTGTCCTAGAGGTGGGTTCGATCCTCTCGTACTGTTGTCACACTGTGACATAAAAGCTGACCACAATGTCTTATCTTACTGTAGTATGCCCGATATTAATTTAAGTTTATTGTATTTCTGCTAAATGTATCCGTCGTCAGATCCTGTGGACGTTCTCCATCTACCTGGAGTCGGTGGCAATCCTGCCGCAGCTCTTCATGATCAGCAAGACTGGCGAGGCCGAGACGATTACCACCCACTACCTGTTCTGCCTGGGCCTGTATCGGGCCCTCTACCTTTTCAACTGGATCTGGCGTTTCTACTTTGAAGGCTTCTTTGACATGATCGCCATCGTGGCCGGTTTGGTCCAGACTGTCCTCTACTGTGACTTCTTCTACCTTTATGTCACCAAAGGTGGGTTTCCTGCTGCTCTCATCCATTATGGCGTTATATAGATAAACGTAAGGAAATAAGAGAGTAATTATTATTACACAATGCCTATATGTTTGAAAGAGTTATTGGATGATCTAATCATTTCTCCAGTCCACACTGGCCCTGAACTAATCACTTCCTAGAGTACCTTCAACGAAGGAGCTCTACAGCTCTTGTTCCCTGCAAAAGTTCAGCTGAAGCTAATATGTGATTCTAGCAGATGGAGTTTCCTGAATAGAGTTGTCTTTGCCCTCTTTATATTACTGTCCATCCACAGTAGCTCAGTAAGGAAACACACAAAGGGGGATTTGTGCTCATATACAGTTTGGAAGTACACACTTATAATTTGCATCAGTTGAACTTCAAAATCCATTTTCTCCCGAAACCATAACTGCAGATTTTTTTCCCTCTATTACTTTCCGTGGCATTAGAAAGAAATGACTTGTGAGTAAAGTCAAGACAGACTAAAACCTTTCCTTTACTAAAGATGCACTCTTCTATCACATCGCAGTGCTTCCAAAACTGCAACTACTCACACTAGTTTGTTTTGAAGCAACACAAATATAGAAAAACTTGGACATCACACTTTCTAATCTTACTAGAGCCTGATTTTTCTGCACAGTAACTTCAATGCAGTAGTTTTCTGGGGGTCAACATCTAGTAAAGGATCTTTTTAACTTCTTCATTGATTTGGTGTTAAAATTTGTCCAATTTTGAATCTGTATCTTTTTTAAGGGAGTCCTGGTGAAGGCGGCAGCATAAAAGCTTCACATAAAAGAACGAATAACAGACCTAAAATAAAACCGCAAAAGGGTTAAAACAAACGACATAAGACCTTTCACATTAAAGAAACGAGCAGGTTAAGTTCCCATTTGTTTTATGCTGTAAAGCAGAAATAAATATTCACAACACACTCAGCAGATTGTCTGGTTTGGACGTTTCCAGTCTCCTTTTCCATTTCAAAAAACAACATGTCTCTGTGTTATATCTTCTGTGTGAAAATGATGTCTTACGCCCTTGATTGTTTTAATATTGTTTAATATGTCATCGGTCTAAATCTCTGCGGTTCTTTAGATGGGTTGGAAACATGGGGATTCTCTTTCTCTCTACTTCCTGGAAATATCTGTTTTTTACAACCACTGGAGGCTACGTCTGAACACGCATCAATGAATTCCGCTTTTAAAAAAAACTCATTGAAAAAGGAAACCCTGGCACTTTTAAACCTGTCAAAGCAAAGTGGTGTAAAACATCTGTTGGAGAATGTAGACGGTGACGTTTCCTGACTGACTGTCTTTCTTTCTGTCTCACTCCTCAGTGTTGAAAGGCAAGAAGCTGAGCCTGCCGGCGTAAAACACGCAGAAGGCGACGGAGAATCCCAGCAGACTCAGGGAGGGGGGGGGGGTTATGGCGATGACATCACGTAATCTCGTGGCCTACAGCAAAAGATGCCCGAGGCAGAGAGACAACTATCGGGGGGGGGGGGGGAAACACTAGTCTTCTTGATGATCGCTGATGGATCCGGTGAATGCCAACCAACACCAGAGCTGAACAAAAATCATAGCTGGTCAACCTTTGGATTTCTGCGTTCAGCATTTTGCCTTAAACTTCTTTTCATTGCTCTTCAAATTAGGAGAAAAGGCTTTTTTTTTTTTTTTTTTTTTTTGTTTTTCTTCTACATCCGAGGTGTATACGCTTGTTTTTTAATTTGTTTTTTTTATAATGTCACGAATAGGGTCGACTCTGAGAAGTACCTTGTTTGACTTTGTAATGAAATGCACAAATGTACAGTCTTATTAAAGAGTGAGATAAAGAGGTAATGTATCAGAGTGCCTGATGGGGATTATGTCCACTTTCTCACACTATTTTTTTTTTTTTTTTACTTTTGGATTTGTTTGAGTCTGCATTTACTGTAATACATGTACCGTCAGCTGGAATATTTAAAGATGCCAACAGCAACAGTTACACGACCACACACACACACACACACACACACACACACACACACACACACGTGCATTTTTGTAAAAGCATTGCTTTCTAAAATTGCTCAAACCAACATTTTAACTCTATAAATCTGAAGCTTTTTGTAAACAACTCATTAGAGGGTTTGTAGTTTTATATCATGAAATAAATTAATTTAATGTCGACAGTCAGTTGGACAAAGATATTGGTATTTTCAAATGTTGGATATCTCATTTGGAATGAAACCTTTCATGTGTTTATTGATATTTTTCCCCTTGGCTTACTGTATTGAAGAAAATACAATGCTTTAATGTAAATAATGCTACATCACATTTCTGATGTAGCTAGAGCTCAAACGTTGTTTCTGCTAGCATTGCACCCCATTAACAAACGTACCAACACCTTCAAACGCCGACTCGTCGGTTATCTGAAGGTTGAAATCACTGAAAGCAATAAGGAATCGCCAAATGATGATTTTTTTGGATTAATATCCTTCGTATGACTGACTGTGACATCTCAAGTGTGAACTGTATGTCCAATTAAACCGATTTGTAATGGTGCTGGTCCATAATCGATGAGTGGTGTTCAATGGGTGCATTTCTATTAAACTGAAAGGCCTCTTGATAACATTTTTCTTCATATTAGTCATTCTTTAAGAATTTCTTTCTACTTTTTATGTTTTTTTTTTTTTTTTTTGCATGATATTGCCTCCATTAAAGATTTTATGAGAATCACCCTTTGTTGCTGTTTGATTATTGAAATCATGTGAGAATAGAAGCACACTAGTAGCACTGTGGACCGTGACAGAGGAAGAGTTCAGATCCTTTACCGAAATTAAAGTGTAAATACCACACTGTAAGTCCTGCTTTACTTGTTACTTCAGTAAAAGTATGCAACTATAATCAGGAAAATGTACTGAAAGTATTAAAAGTACTCCATGCAGAAAAATGTCCTCTGTGACTGTACTATTAAACGTTATATAGAACATAATGTTAAGTAAACTCGGTTAATTCCAATAAAGATTATTGCAACCAAGATGCATATTAAGGATGGACTTCTTTCCCAAACTCATCTCAAGTTCCTTGTAATACACGAGGATCTTCTTTTACGATAAAAAATGTAAAGTAGTAACACCACCGTGAGAAGTCAATGTGTGCCGTGCAACAGATTGCTTTTTTTTACCAGATAATATTTTGCCAATCATGCCTTGTTTCTCCATCTCTGTTTGGACAAAAGACCAGCACAAATGTTAATCCTGAGGAGCATTTATTCAAAGCCACATTACAAACATACAACACTGTAACATAAACATGTAACAGTTATTTTATAGGGATCCTCTTAGCTGACTAATCAGTACTTTAAATATCTAATCATTTAGTCGACAACATCACGAGTGCAAGAGTCCACTAAGAATTTCTTTTGTTGAGGACAGCCCTAGTTTTTTGGAGTGCATTTCTTTTTGCCTTCTAGGCGTGCACATCAGATATCTGCAGAGATGAGCCTAAACAACACACAAGCATTTTCAGGCTGGAAATCATAATATGGAAAATGTAATATCGCATGGCTTATTTGGATGAATAACACACTAATGTTCATATTTTCTCGTTACATTCATTACTTGAAATTAAACACCATTTCAGGATAAATCCATAGTGCATATATAGAATATGTAGTACAGATTAGACTTACATGAGTCTTCTGTATTTGGATATTAATGCAGTTGAAAGGTTATTCCATGCTTTGGCTGTTGTAGACATTTTATAATGACACTCATTTTAGAAAACTATGTAGTTACAATATTCAGGCTTTAGACATACAGCAACAATCAGGGAGTATTTGTGCTTTGAAAGTTAGCTGCACAAGGTACATTCAAGGGTCTGGATCCTCTGAAGTAGTGCTGACTTAAAGTTGCTGACACTCAAGAAAATTTGAGCTTTTCCACATGAAAGCTCTCTCTCAAGAGAAGAAGAATCAAGCTACTGGATATCCTCCAGTTTAGAAGTGTCACATTCACTCTCCACGGACTCTCCCTGATCCTCCAGGACTTTACCTTCCTGGAAGGATGAAGGACAACAGAGAAGAAAATAAATACAATGCAGAAGCAATGACACAGATTTAAATACTGAAAATGCACTGTATGTTTGATTTGCACTTGCCTAAGTCTTTTTTTATTGTATTTTAGCCTATTTTATACTTTGTTCGTATGTTTATTTTATACTTTTTCTTTTTTGACTTAAACAAAGTTTTATACACTTTTTTCTCTTACCTGTCTTTAAAAAAACAACTCATGTAAAACACCTTGAGCTGCGTCTGTGTATAAAATGTGCTGTATAAATAAACTCGCCTTGCATATGAAAGTTTGTACACTTTGATTTTATCACTGACTTTTCAGTACAGCCTATAGATTACCATATCCTGAAGCCTGAACTTACCTCGAAAAAGACAGAGTGTGGTTAAAACAGGGATACAATAAAATCATGTGGGGTCATATTTCTCTTTTCAAAATACACATTACCTTGGTCAGACGCTTGTAATAGCGGCTGACGACCTTGGAGATGGTGACATAAAACGCATTGAAGACGAGTGAAACCATGACAGAGAAGATGGCGATGCCGGGGAGCAAAGACAGCAGAGTCAACCCTCCTACACACAGCAGGAACACTGACAGACACACAGAGGAACAACACAGTTTTGGGTTATTTAAAAGTAAGCTACTGCAGTCGTACTACTACATTTTAGATTGTGGAAGGCTGAAAATTGTTTTTGACATGATTACACATACCTTCAAAGAAAACAAAACCTACTGTCGTCATTACAATGGTAATAAAAGCAAAAGAGAGGAAAAGTCCGACAGGCAGTGCAGCCATGACGCCAAACAGCAACACCGTGAGAGCTAAGAGAGGATGGCTGCTCATGTACTGTCCGATTCTTGTGTCCATCATCAGTTCTACCTGTAGAAGAGAGACAGACAGGATGCAGCTGTACAAAAAACCCTCTCATTTGATGATGGAAAAGCAAATATGTACACAGAGTTAAGAAAGGTTTTAGTTTGACGGATGAAGGTAGTTTCTTGTTACCTTGGGGTCACCATAAAAGCGGTTCATCAGGTTGGTCCATCTTCCCCACAGCTTCTGAAACTCAGTCACACTGGTCCTGCTGTTGCCGCTGTGCTCCATCCTCAATCGTATCTGACCAGACAGCGAGGGAAACTTGAGTCAGCCTCACAGCAAGTTAGTGCATTTCTACTTTTCAAAGTTAGATAGAGACTCTAGGATTCAAGTGAGGAACGGTGACTGTAAACAGAAGACAGCTGTATAGGCTTCTGTCTCACACCATAAAAGACTTAAGAACATTTCTGAAAACATACAACAAAGTTAAGTACAAACCTGAACAATGTAGTAAACCTGGTTTCATTCACAGCTCACAACATACGAAACTGTGTCCTCTGGTTGCCTCAGTCACTCCTTTTAAACTAAACACACCTCTTTGTCTTCTTCCTCCTCCTCCTCCTCCTCCTTCTCCTTCTTCTTCTTCTTCTTCTTCTTCTTCTTCTTCTGAATTCCTGGTGGAGCGACTCTAAAAGGCTTGTAAGTATTGCTGCTGCCACCTGCTGTTCACCAAATGTGTCAGCACAAGAATGGGGGCTTTGTTTTTCTGAAGAATGGCTTCAGGGTTAGGTTATTATGTATCATATTCATGTGACGTATTTTCTTGGGAAAAAAATCCTCTACAATTCATAAAATACATAATTAGAATTGGTGACATCAGTATGGGAGCTTAAAGTTAAACCAAATATCTAAATAAATGAGAAATCAAATAACAACAATTGATTACATTAGCAGCATGAATAACCAGTTAATCGTAAATAAATAAAGAATATATTTGTATATCTAATTATTATATACTTGTGGAAATAACAGAAATGTATGCTAATTACTGGTATACTTATTACTATGATGACTTTATTTATCATCACGATTGTTCAGCGCCCTCCTGTGGTCACGGTGAAGAACTGCAGCACTTCCTCTAACTAGAAAGCAGCGTTAGTACATCTTTCTGTCCGTCTGTCTGTGCATATGTGGGTATGTCCTCATATCTTGGCAACAGTTCATCCGATGTACTTCACACATTGCAGGGGGCCGAAGGGAGTCCTGTACCGAATTTGGTGCAATTAGGACGCGTTCAATATTACCCAGTTTGAATAAACCTGCGCCTGCTTTTTGTCTGGTTTTGGGTCAAAAGCAGTATTTCCCAGATTCCCATCCTCCTACTGTCACTGTTGTTGCTACAACTTTTGGTTGCATTCTTAATACAACTTCTGCTATCACTGTCTATTCAAGTACCTATGGAGTCATTTACAATCTTGAAATTGTGTTTCAGACAGAATCAAGTCTTTACCTAAAGTGTCTAACATGCTTTCACAACAGTAAGAGGAACAAAAAAAGAGAAATGTGGGTATTTCATTTTATGTTATTATTGAGGCGACTGTTAGTTCAAAACAACAATAGCTGCTCCTGCAGAGGTTTGCAAAGAGCAGAAGTGGAGAGAATTTATTCATTGTAAGAAAAGCAAAGAACGGCTCTGAATGCCTTTCTCAAGTGAAAATATTTTGAATTGTTATATTTTGTGAGTCAAATCTGAATCTGCAATGTAAGTCTGGTAATTGATAGTACTACAATGTTGTACTACAATGAAGATGAAGCATGCAGTTGAGTTGGATATGTGGGAGCTGGGGTCCTTTTGTAACTTATTTTGGTGTCTTCTTTTAGAATAGTAACCATTCAATATCTAAACATCATAATGAATCTATAGCTGTTGGGGGCCCCAGGTCCAGGTTTCCTACCTTGCCTAACAGCTTGTGTGACTCAACTATTTCACGGCAGTTGTTTTGCTCAGGACTCAAGGAAGCCCGGTGTTGAGTGTGAACTTGTTTGTATGAGCGGTCTTTGAGAAAGCTGCAAGCAGCGACACACCAGACCAAGCATTAGTTGTACTACTTGAGTTTGTGGCAACAGTAATATCCTCATTATGAATGTTACTATCAAGTACATTCACCATCATTAATGCAAAATAATTGCAATTATAAAGAGCTGTTTTCTGATGTGATGCTACAGATCAGTGACATGACAGCATGAAGAAGACATAAATACTCATTATTATTATGATTACTACTACTAAAACAGATTTAATCTGTTCTTTGCACTACAAAAAGGAAGTTTCACGACCTGTACAACCACATACTGTATCTTCTCTTCCTTCTCTGCCATATTATTTATTGTCATTAAAGGACCACTTGCACTAATTATGATGGATGTCATGGCCAGCCTTCTCTGCTTCTGCCTAATTGCGCCATAAACCACCAATCATCTTTATTGGACAGGTGATGAACGATCTATTCATTTGTTTCTCTCTTATTGTCTCTCGGGTGACCAGTATTATGGGCGACTTTAGCCACGGACTGAGGAATCAACTAAGATCTCTTTCCTGAATGTCTGTACAAAAATAAGACGCCACCCGGTGCACTCGTGAATACAAACGAGGGAAATCGCGACAGTATTTCTCCAGAGCTCCAGCAGACGGGGTTCAAAGTTTACTTCACAGCTGTCAGACTGAAACTTCTACTCCAAAATAATTACCACACTTTCTGCCCTTCTGCTCTGTGCTGCTACTCGACGACAACAGCCAGATATTTCTCTGTGAGGCTGATTAGAATGTTAAATGGCTGAACTTCACCACCACCGGGGATTACTTCCTCAATCATAAATACGAGTTGCCATGGCCACCCACAAATTAAAGTTTATCCCCTAGATTTCTGGATAGCATTAAATATATGTGGGCACATAATTGCGAGGGAAATGGCAGTGTGGTCTGTTTTTGAACTATACGCCAAAGAGAGACACCCCCTCGGGAGCCGCTGGTGACAACTTACTGTATTTGAGCCCTTTATAGCTGCCGGCCATACTAATTAATCACTCTCTTTTAGTATTGAGGGGAAGGCAATGATTTGGCAAGAGAGAGAGACTGCATCTACCTCTCTAGACTGCTAAACACAATGAACTCAGCGAACCAAGGCTTGTGAGATTGTGTGTGTGTAGTTTGTGCATTCGTGCACACAAAACAGGGAATTCCCAGTAGTTAATATTTTTTACTCCAGGCTTTTATTACAAGACTTTTCCTCATCAGATTACACCTCATTTTCCCCACACATCGGCCCAACACGTCACTTGATAACAAGGCCGTGGGTGTTGGAACAGTAGACAGTTTTTGCTGAAAGGTTTCATCTTCTGTCACAGTTGAAACATATGTGATAGAGCAATCGGCCTGTGGCCAAACAATCAATAGTTGTACAGATCTCCTTGCAACTCCTCATCATCAGGCCCTGATCAGACAGAGTGCGTTTTTGCAGCTTTACGTAACTGTTTTCAAGGAAATTGAAGTGCTTTTCGCATACTTATGAGTTGCCGCTCAATGCGCCTTGTGTTTCTGAACGCCTCGAGCTGAAATTTTTTTTTTAGCTCGGAGTAAAAAAAGTGGCCAACGTCATAAGCGTTTGTCCTCACTGTGGGGACGTTTGTCGTAAACTCTGAGTTCGATGAGTCAACCAACCATAGATATCGTGATCTGAACAGAAAGCAGCAGGCCTAAAGGCAAATTGGTGCAGTACTTAAAACTTAGGGTAAGTTTTTATTGATTTAAGGGACAGTGTTGAGGATTTAGGGGGACTTATTGGCAGAAATTGAATACAATATTCATTACCATGTTTTCATTAGTCACCTGGAATTAAGAATCGCTAGCTATTTCTATCTACACAGATACATGTCGGTCCTCTTTACTAGAGTCCGCCATGTTGGGCCTTTTGCGTTTTTATGTTACCTAAAGGCCACCGTAGTTATCCGACAGGCTTGGAAAGGGAGGGGGTGAGTGAGGGGTATTCAGTTGGATGCAATCTGCAACCTCACCACTAGATGCCACTAAATCCTACGAACTGGCCCTTTAAATATTAGGTAGCATGGTTTGTGTTAAGCTAAACGGTAGCACTCATGCGGAACAAAAAACAACAACTCTCCATCTGTCCAGGGCATTCATCACATTAAAATTACATTTTGGCCTCACGAGTCATGGGATTGCAGTTTACCAAACATGTTTCAAATGAGCCACATACAATGGTTTAAGCTTCTTTTCCTGCTGAACTAAATAAGAAAGGTGACAGTAACAGAGTTGTTCTACAGCTCCTGAGACAAATGACTCTTGTGACAAAGCAGCCCGCTCCTCAACTAGACTAGATGACAATTGAATGTTCTTAAGGCGTCCCATATACCTGTGGTGCAGAGATATATATGAGTGTATGACAGCAGATCGACTGTGCGATATGTCCACTGGCACGTGCCGAGAGTCGCGCAACATATTGCAGCCAGGATGTGATTGATGGGCTGTCGGTAAATTCCAATTTGCATTCGCTGATTGTAAAAACTAATCACTGAGAGAGGAGGGGCATGAAGTAATCTCCTGTGGTTCCAAGCTAACTGATGCACATCTACCTATCGGTTCCTGTCCTCCGGCTGGGGAGAGCCAGAGGCTCAAAGAGAGCTCCCTGGAGGGTGGTAAAGGACGGAGCGCTCGTAAACCTCTCTAAAGCTCACCAACACCAACAACAACAGCAGCATCACTGCACACACAGAGTACACACAGGAGGATATACATTGTTAAAAATAAGAATACTGAGAGATGTTGTATGTTTAAAGGAAAAGTTTGCATCATGATTACTACTCTGTCTGTGTATTGAGCAAGCTAGAGCTAGCTAACTTAGCTTAGCCGAGAGATGGGAACGGGGGAAACGGTTATCCTGGAGGTCCAGGTAACAAAAGCCACCTACCAGCACCTCTAAAGCGCACTATTTCACAAGTTGTATCGTTTGTTTAATTAAGTACAAAACTGTAGAGTAACAATGCTTTTACTTGCAATTACTTTCTAGAGTATCTGCTGGTTGCAAGTCAACTGGTCCCAAGATATAGTCCAACACGTAGCTAAGCTAACGCTTCATATTTGCCTTATAGACCTGAGTGGTGTCAATCTCTTTGTCTGCAAATGAATGAATATATTTTCCAAAAAGTCAGACAATTCCTTGAAGCAATAAATGCACCGATAGACTTACAAACAATCATGCTTTAGGAGTCACTTGTATCAGCGCATTGTACATCTCTGTTGATTAAGCCCAACATCAGGCTGGTTTTGTGTATCACCCACTTCATTATGGGCAGTGATTGAATTTGTGTTTCTCACATTCAATTATAATGAATCAACACTGCCGCTGCAGTCTATCAGAAAACAAACTTTTAATAACAAAGTAGTTTGGACATTTTCAAAAGTTGGGTCAGTGGGTTTATGGTTTAAGAAAAAAAAAATAAAAACAGAACCTGAAAGAAAAATGGACCTGATCTGCAAAATGCTGTTACGTTGTGTTGTTTGTACTATACTACTCATCAGATATGCATGCGGCTCCGA